TCTGTTTCTCTTCGGTGAGTGCATGTACCCTCAAAAAGAAAAAAATAGCAATCATAAAAAGAATCTTCGTGCCTCACTGTACTTCTGGGTTACCAAGTCTCTCTCTAGCTTTCTGGCTGTGTTTAATTCGCTGTTTAGGAACCAGCTGGTGGCATGGTAGTTTAAGGTAGCTGAATCTCACATGGCCGACTCAGAAGTTTGAGTCTCAGACCCTGTGGCTTAAGGGACACACCAGGCACGTGTATGTGCCCAAAGTCCCAAGGGGAGAGTGGAAAAGGGATTGCAGCATGGCCATCTTCACTAGAGGGTCATTTCTCACTTTCCCTCTCTCTGTCTGTTTCTGGGAAGCACACGTGCCTTATGGCAAAAAAAAAAAAAGAAAGAAAAAAAGAAAAAGGAAAAAATCAGGGACCAGCAGTTGGCATAATGGCTATGTCGCTGGACTCCCATGCAGTCAACCACAGTTTCAGTTCCAGACCTGGTGGCTTAAACTCACACCGGGCCCAAGATCCCGAGAGGAGAATAGAGGAGAAGGGATTGCGGCGTGGCCATCCCCCCAGGAGGTGATTTCTCACTTTTTGTCTCTCTGTGTCTCTGTGTCTCTTTGTCTTTCTGGTGGGCACGCACACCCTGTAGCAAAAACCTCTCACAAAAAAATAATCACACGCATGAAGTCACTCAGCCCACCTCAGGCCTGTGAGGCGCGTACTGGTTTTTTTTTTTTTAAATAATTATTGATTTAATTCCATTTGTTGTTACTATTTTTTGACCTGACCAGAGAGAGAGAGAGGGAAAGGGGGGAAGTAAGCCGCCAGGTCTGGGACTGGAACCACAGTCGGCCATCTGGGAGTGCAGTGCCTCTAACCACCATGCCACCTGCCAGCTGCCTACTGACTCACAGATGAGGACGATGGGGCCCAGCGGCTGTCACACAACTAGCGAGGCACGCAGCTGGGGCGCAGGGCCCGGTGTCTGGAGGACCTGCGCCCTTCCCGGTGTGATACTGCAGGGGGGTGTGTGGGTGTGTGTGTGAACGTCAACACGTGTGCGTGTGCCCGTGCGCCTGCTGGCGTGTCCGGATGTGAACGTTGCGGTCTGTGACTGTTTCCAAGTGTTCACTTTGATGTCACCCGAGTGTGGCCTCCTCTGACCACCCCATTTAAAACTGGCTACTCCCCTAACTCTTCACCAAGAACGTTCTCGAATGTATTCCCCACTCAGGAGAAAGCATGCTTGGGGCCAGCAGGAGGCATGGAGGTTAAGGTGCTGTTTTCCCACATGGCTGACTGTGGGGTTCGAGTCCTGAACCCAGTGGTTTGAGAATCATACCATGTGTGTGTGCCCCAAATCCCGAGAGGAGACAAGGAAGAGAGACTGCAGCATGGCCATCCCCGCTGGGCGATTCCTCACCACCCCCAATCTGGCGAGCACACACTCCCTACAGCAACAACAAAAGAGACTTTGAGGACAGCTGTCTGCTAGGGTCCCTCCAGGCTGCATCCACAGTTCCCTAAGCGCTGTGCCACGAGGAGCTCCCAGGAGGCAGAGAGGGTAGACTGTTCTGTCACAGCACAGAAGGGGCCATGCCGGCGACTGTGCGCAGCGTGGATGAGCGACTGAGTGAGTGCTTCACCCCCTCTTCCCAGCTCCTGCTAAAGAACCAAAAAAGGTGCCCAAAACACCCCTCTCTGCTTCCAAGAAGCTGGTGACTGCCCCTGCTGGGCCCAGCAAACACAAGTGAGGAGCAGGGGGCTGGAGAAAGGAGGGGGTACAGAGGAAGTGCTCCTCCTGCACCCACTCCCAGGGCCTGACGGCAGGGCGGGGGCGGGGGATATGTTCCAGGACATCACTGACACCCAAAGGGGACAGTCAGAAGCACCCCTCCCGCGACTCAGGTAAGGGCTGCCTTCCTGTAACGTTGGGGGGACTGGAGGACAGGGTTGTGCTGAGGGACACAGAAGGAGGGGACAGGGCTTGGGTCCCTGAGGGTCTGCTCTCACAGGCTCCAATGGCAGCTTCCTCAGCGGGGCTCCAGGCCACCCTGGCAGAAAGGGGTCCAAAACCCAGGCTGCTCGGCAACGCACGGCACTCAGTCAGGTGAGGGGCAGGAGAGCGGGCAGCGGGGCAGAGGCTGGTGCCCAGTGTGGCGCACAAGGTGGCGAGCCCCAGGCCAAGGGAACCCCAAGACGTCAAGGTGCCCAGCCATCAGCTGAGCCTCCCCTGGCACCACAGGCTGAAGAGCAGAGCAGCCTGGCCAAGGCCCCTTCTGAGAACAAGCTCCCCACCCTGGACAAGACTACCACCCTGGAGAAGACCCTGGCTCCAGATAAGGCCCCCAGCCCCAAGCAGAACCCAGCTCCTGACAAAGCCCCCACCCCAGAGAAGACCCCGGTGCTGAAGGACAAGGGCCCTACCTTAGAGAAGCCCACACCAGAGATCTCTGCTCCTGACCAGGTCCCCTCCCCAGAGCAGACCCCGACTCTGGACAGGGCCTCCACTCCAGAAAGGGTCATTTCTGAGGATGAGGCTCCTGCCCCAGGAGTCCCGCCTAAGGACGAAGCTCCTGATCCGAAGATGGCCCCTCTGGGGGAGGATACCCCTGTCGTAGAGAAGCGCTTGGCCCTGGAGCAGGTGCTTTCTGAAGTCGGCAGAGAGCACTCGCAGCTCCATCACTTCTCTCCGGAGGGAACCTTGCAAGTCCAGTCCTTCCTGGCCCAGGAGGCTCAAGCCCTAGAAGAGGTCCATATGCCCGAGGAGCCTCCACTGGCGCCCAACTCCTCAGAGGGGGTGATGAAACAACCCCTGGGTAAGAGGGGCAGCTCCCCACTCCAGTCTGAGAACAAGCCCGGGTCGACGGCTGCCCTTGAGAAAGCCCACCCTCAGGAAGACGCTACAGCCCTCCTGGAGAAGGCACCTGCAAAAGACGAGATCACCCCAGAAGAGGTGCTCCCTAAAGAGGAGGTGCCCTCGAAAAAGGAGTTGCCCTCCAAAGAGGTAATAGCCCCTGTCCAAGAAAGCCTACATCCTATCAAGCAGGCTCCAGACCCCCAAGAGGCTCCGGCCCTCCATTCCCTGGTCCCACAAAGTTCCGCGGAGGACGGGGCCGACACAACGATAAAAGGCGAGGTGGCGTCCCTGCGGGGGGCGCTGGAGCAGCTGCGACTGCAGCTGGAGTAAGTGGGCAGGGGCGGGCGGGGCGTGGGGAGGGACGGCCCATCCAGCGCCCTCACCTCGTTCTCGCGTCCGCAGAAGGAAGCTCACCGACATCTGGGAGCAGCTGAAGAGCGAGAGCGAGAAGCGCCGTTTGCTGGAGGTGGGTGGGTTCGGACCCCGGGCGGGGCGGGGCTGGCGGCCGCCCAGCCCTGACGCCCTCTCCCGCCTAGGTTCAGATGAGGCAGAGGACCCAGAGGTCCCCGACGCGGCGCTCCGCCCACGCGCAGACGCAGCCGGACTGAGGTCGGGACGGACTGAGGGCGGGCCTGGGAGGGGCCACGGGCCGTCGGGAGGGACGTCTGGCCACCCACGTCCTTGCGCACGACTTTGGGAAACACGAGAAAGTAAACGCTGCCTGGTACGCGCGCCTGGCGGCCTGGTCCGTGCGGGGGCGGGGCCTGCGCGGCGGGGCGGGGCCGGCGGCCGCTCCGCATTCCTGGAGGTCTCTCCCGGGCACATCTGGCCAACATGTGGCTCCCATTACCGTTCCCAAGGCCTCCGCGCGGCTATTTTTATCCACCGGATGGTGGACGCCAGCCCCGTGCTGGAAAAATGGCGGGCAGGAGGGGCCCCGGCTGGGGCGGGCTCGGATTCCGGAATCCAGCTGTGCGTCGAGGGAGTGGCCGGGCTGGCCTTTTCTCGAGCCTGGACCGCGCCCTTCCCCCGTCCCCTCCTCCGAGTTGACCTCACTGTCCTATCTGTTCACTTGAACGCATCTCGGCACAGACACGCGGGTCCCACTAGCGCTCAGAACACCTTAGCGTTAAGGTCAGGGTCCCGACGCCTGGGGTGTGTACGCGTGAGGTTGCAATGGAGGCGTGAGCCCACGGCTTTGGGGACGGGGCGACGCGTGCCCAGGCGCTTACCCGTAAGTAATATTTGTGAGCAATGCCGTGAGGATGCTGTGCTGTGCGCGAGGCTGGTGAGGGTGGAGTGTGGCTGCGCGAGTGTGTGCTGTCTTCCTGCCGTCGGTGAAGTCAACACGAGCATGCGTGCTGAGTTGTCGGGGGTGGGGGGGTGGGCAGAGGCAGTGCGACCTGGTAAAGGAGTCGAGTGTGGTCTCAGCCCCGAGGCCTCGTGCATAGCAGGAGGAGGAGCCCCAGGACCTCTGCAAACAAGGGCACACTGGGAGACTGAGTCACTGAGAATGCAGCTTTCATTGGTCGCTTTGCCCTTTCATCGTCCCCAGAGAGGAGGTAGAGACCCTGCATCCTGCCCCCACCCCCACCCCGACTTCTCGCAGGACTGGGAAAGGGTGCCTGCCCCTCAGAGGTTGTCCTTGCGCCTTGCACCAAGGGAGCCTTGGGGCCTGAGGCAGTCCAAAGGTCCTGGGGCAGCTCCGGGCCCACGTGCATGTCCAGGGCCCAGAGCGCCTTGCAGCGGGAGCCTGGGCCCGTCAGTAATAGTGCACGCGGCCTAGGGTGCCGGTGGCCGTGGGGGGCCCCAGCGTGCCCGTGCCCAGCAGGTCCGGCTGCCCCGTGCGCCAGATCTCGCGCAGGATCCGCTCGCGCTCCTCCAGCCGCTGAGCGCGCTCCAGCTCTTCCGCCGACGTGAAGACGTTGACGCTGAGGGGCCCATCGGCCTCCGCGGATAGCTCGGGGCCCGGCAGCGTGTCGTCGGGGCCCAGCCGTGTCGCCGTGTCCTCCTCCTCGTCGTCGTCGTCGTCGTCCTCGGGCTCCAGCGTGCTGCTGCGCGGGTCCCGGCGCGGAGCGGGCCCCCGGGACCGCGGGCGGGGCGCACAGGAGATGCGGATGACCAGCAGACACAGGGTCAGCAGCAGGCCAAAGCAGACGCCCAGCACGAAGTAGAGGCCGAAACTCTCGGGGTTAGCTGGGGGTCGGAGGACAGAGGTCATGGAGGGCTCTGGTGGGTGGGAGTCATGCCATCCCGAAAAGACTGCAAGTTCTAGGTGGGGGTGAGTATTGTCACCCCTACTCGTAGGACGTTGGGGAATCGCCGTCGTGCAGCAGAGCAGTAAGGGTAGGGGGCTGAGGGCAGGTGATGCCAGGGTGGCGCGGGTGGAGCGGGGAGGGGTGGTGCGGGCCGAGCGGGCAGGGAGGGGCG